CAATACAGCAGAGCAGACCAATACAGGTCATGATTTGTTGCAATGGCCCAAAATAAAAAATGTTCAAAATGCTCAATGATTTAATATAATAGTTCTAAAAGATAATAATACCAATATTTCTTAAAGCAATATACCAATATCCTCAGTGTGATTGACATAATAAAATATAGTAGGTATAATCATATATTGCATGGTGGATAGAATATACTTATATAAACATTCGGTGAAAATTTCATGTATGGTCATTTGCTTTAAAATTTCATCAAAAACCAAAATCGATTTTGTCGAAAATTGATTGTGCGTATAAAAATTCACGTTTTTTTCCCTTAATTTTTAGTTTGTTAATCCCAATTGTTAAGAAAAACATTGGGAATTTTTTACTTTTGATCCCCCAATGTACCAACTAGATTCACTTTCTGATCGAACGACGTACTGAAAGTTGAAAATCGAAGCACTTTTACCCCCCAAACGTGATGACAAACACAAAAAATAATTTTAAAAAAAAACACACATCATGGTAAAATCAATGGTAGGCGGAAAAAATGGCCACGGAAAAAAAAACCCAAACTGAAAAATACACCCCGGAAAAAAAGCCCAAGAAAATAAAAGTGCAATCATTGTAAATTGTAATATTTTATAAAATGTGGTTGATTGTTGATTATAAAATGGATTTACAATCATATAATATTTTTATTTCTGTAATAGAATAACTGAATAAAACATTTTTAATAGAACATAAGAACAAAATATTAAAAATACAAAATATTCACGTTTCTGGACTTACAGATATATAAGTATAATATAGATTGTATTGTTAATTATCACGCACGTACAAATCTAGTGTTGAATTAACAAACAAAACACTTATTAAGGGTTAATTAATAATCATTTACTTGGATTAATTTAACTCATTTGTTAATACAAGTATTAGAATCAATATTTAATACAAAATGATTTTAACATTATAGCTATTTTAAATATAACTTATTTAGGTTGAACTATAAAGTTAATTCAGCTACACGCGGCTGGTGTTACCTTTAACTACCCAAATCACATGATTTACCTGTAAATTAACTTAACTGTACAATAATGATAATTAACTATAAAAAGCTAAGTTAAAACAATACAAAATTTAACTGAAGTTAAAAAGTTTAAAAATATTAAATACTATGTATATTATTTAAAATATGTATCTATAAATAAATATAAATATATTATGTATAATATATTTTTTGGGGCTTTTTACCGTGGGTTTTTTTCCGGGGTGTATTTTTTAGTTTGGATTTTTTTTCGGAGTTTTTTTCCCGCGATTCAAAATCAATATATTATATTCCTTGCTTTCAGTGGCGTATATAGTAGGGGGTTCAAACCCCCTCCCCCCCAAATTGTTTGTTGGTACGACACTTATACGAATTTATTATCCAAGTACCCAACAAAGTTAATTTATAATAATAATTAAATACATTTTTTTATAAGCCCCCC